AAAAAAAACTTTCTTTATCTTTAAGTAGATAATTGTTAATTTATTATCTATAATTCACTCACACATAGGTCTATGTTATTGACTTTGGCCTGGCTAAAAAAATATAGAAACAAGTAGGTATGTTTTGTAGAAATTGGAGAAAGTGTGGAGCAAAGTGTAGAGAGTAGAGAGTATGAGATGAAAAGTAAAGCGATGTTGTCCCGTCCCACCACTTCCTCATTCCTAACCACTAAGCAATCTTAACCGACCATTGACAAAGCCTCACTGTCTTCATCACCAACCCTCAGCACCTACTGTGACAAACTCATCATCTCCACCACCAACCCTTAGCACCTACCATGACAAAGTCATTATCTCTATCACCAACCCTCAACACGTTCATGACAAACTCATTGGCCATTCCCACACCCTCGTCTCTCAATCATTTATTCCACCTTCAAAATCTCCACAAAACACAGCCAATAACTTATCCTCTCTTCTTTTTGAACCCCCCTTAACTATTGCCGTTCCAACCTCCCAGCCCTACCATGTTTACCGAAATCTCTATCAACTCCTCTATCAACTACTCAATAGAAGAGAATGTCCTCATCATCTCCCTCATGCCTGAGGACAAAGAGTGCCTTTACTGGCCACAGCACCTCAATGTGATTGTTAAGCTATTTAGGCTTTCGATGGAGTTTGGTTATGTAGTTTAGAAACTTAAGCAAGCATGGAGCTTTACAAATGACTTCGATGTTATCGACCTTGATAAGGGCTTTCTCCTTATTAAGCTATCCTCAGAAGAAGACTTTTCTACTGTCTTTAAGTAAGGACCATGGTTTATTGGTGACCACTTTTTCTCTATCTAACCTTGGGTCCTAAACTTTAGACTTGAATTGGCAATTCCTTCAACAACCATTGTTTGGCTGCCCTTACCCCAATTACTAATTGAATTATTCTCTCAGGATATCCTTTAACAAATTGGGAACTCTCTTGGCTTATTCCTTAAGATTGATGCCACTACACTTGCATGTTCTAGAGGGAGGTTTGCATGTCTTTGTGTTGAATTCAACCTTCAACAACCGCTACCTTCCTCACTGGTCATTGATGGTTTCACCCAAAAAATTATTTACGAAGGAATATAGTCTCTTTATTTTTCTTGTAGTCATTTGGAATATAAAAAACCCCAATGCCCAAGATTGCTCATGGTTAATCGTGACAATCCATCCCCTATTGTCTCAAACCACTCTTTAGGTGGCCTATATGGTGAATGATTTTTTGTTACCAAGAAACGTTTTTGGCAATGATCGAAGAATATCTCACCACCAACGGCTAACCACACTAGAATAGGTGCTACCAAGAAAAGCGCGGTTTGAAGTCAAATTCAAAATTCAAACCTAGTTGAGGCCCAACATCACCCTTTGGTTTCTACACTTATTCTAAGAATCCTAACTAAATTAAAACCCCCAATTGTTGACTTGAGTAAGTCAAACTCTTCCTCTTCACCCTCTTTCCCCCTAACCATATCTAGTTTTCCATACCTCCAACCTCGATTATGCCACCTGTACCTCTACTCTATTCCACCTTGATCAATTTTGCTACCTTTGATGTTTCACAAATCCAAGCTTTTGACACATCCCTGGACCCCATACTGAGAATCCTTCTGATTCTCATCCCATTTTAGTCACCTGCTAAAACAATGCTTAATCCCATGCTCCCTGCTCTAATACTTCTATTAACCCGCACTATTCTAGTTAATCAACCATTCACTCTCACCCGAAACCCCCACTTCCAAACTATGGCTAACTAAACACTTCTACGATCAACGAGGTTCCTAATCTATAGTCTCCTAAGAGAGGATCAAATATGATTCTGCCTCAACTTAAAGGAGATGAGAGAATATCAAAAGGGATTCAAAACCACATGGCATGCTCTACCATTAGAATTCACAAACTACCCTTCAGTTAATTACCTTGAAGAGAAGTTCTTTATCCTAAAGAGCTCACTAGCTTATTTGCACCAACTTCAAATTCTAGTAGTGAGTCTACTTGAATTGGAAACCTCCCACCTACATACATAAATGCTCTCCCTTTAATCTCTAGACCTACAAATAATAAGGAAGTCCAACACTGGCCATGATTTACACAGCTTGCCTCTGTTTTCGTAGTCATTATGAAATGGATGCCAATGGAGTATGATATACTTAGAATCTAAAGCTTGTACTCAAATCTATGGCTCTCAAAGACATTTGCCTTGGAGATGGTAAATTAGATGATGTATGAAGTTGTAACTACAACCTATAAAACCCACCATATGGTGAACCATCTGATCAAGATCTAAGTACACCTAAACAACAATTTCATTGCCTTAGTTTGAGCAATCTATCCATTAAGTCACATGCACATCTACATTAGGTTCGTAAATCTACTCGTAATAAAGGAAGTAGGAATGGACCTAGAACTCACCTGGAAAGAAACCACAAAGGTTTGAAAGAAGGCAAATTAGACTCCTCAAGGTTGGATGCCACTTAACTCACAACTTAGGTCCTTGGTGTCATTAAATTTCCTTGAACTTAATGCCATGTCTATCTTATACTTGAATGTTCGAGGAGTAGGAAAGCTAGCTTTTCTACATAATATTCATGACCTTGTGGATAGATATAGTCCTAACATACTCATTTTATCAAAAACCTATGTTGATTAACATCTTGCAGAGGGGATTATGAACTAAATCGGAGTTGGTTTTGATGGTAAGTGCTAGGTGGAACCCTTTTGTTATAGTGGTGACATATAGGTATTATGGAGTAGTGACTTTTTGCATTTTTTTATTCACTTTGCAACAACATAGGATGTACATGTTATTGTACTGCCACTTAACTCTACTGTTGGTTAGTTGCTTTTAGTTGTCTACACACAAGTCCTTAGTTTGCTAATAGGAAAATACTATGGGATAATTTATGTGATGTCTCTATTGCCATATCTACACTTAAATTTCCATGGCTTATGATTAGGGATTTTAATGAAAAACTAACACACACTAACAAAAGTGGTGGAAATCTCATATCTCAAGTTAAAGCCAGGGCTTTTAAAAACTCCCTAAATAACTATAACATGCTACACTTGGGGTTTATTGAGCCAAAATTTACTTGGTCCAATAAAAGGCCCATACCACACCTCATCAAAGCAAGGCTTGATAAAGATTTTGCAAACCTTTCTTAAACCTTCCTCCATCCTCATGCTTCAATTAAATACCTCCCAAAACTCACTCAGACTATTGCCTTATCTTCCTCTCCCTTTCACACCCTCCTCCTTCCTATAATAGTCATTTTCGCTTCCAAACTATGTTACTACACCACCCTGATTTCCTGTAGGTTGTTAATCAATTTTGGACCCTAAACACCTAGCCCGTAGGCCTAGCATTAACCAATTTTGGGACCTTTTTTTTCTTCTTGGAACAAACATGTCTTTGACAATGTCTTTAAAAAAAAAAAAAAAAGATCTTTGCTAGGTTGGAGGGTATTGAAAAAGCTTTGTCATCCTACAACTCTTATAACCTTCTTTTGCTCCATAAAGAGCTGGTCTCTAAATACCAAACTATCCTTTTAGAGGAAGAGGACTTATGGATGATGATGTCTAGGATCACTTGGCTCAATGATGGGAACCGTGATACTAAGTTCTTTCGCCTTAGTACCATTTCTCGAAGGAAATCTAATAGAATCCTAACTATCTTAGATGAGAACAACATTGAAATCTCCTCACCTGTGGAAGTTACTAACTTCATTACCAACTCTTTTCAAAAGTTGTGCACCTCAAGAAAATCATATTGTTCCATCCTTTCTAATCTTGATCCTAACTACAACCTACTTCACCCTCATTTCAATACTATCTTTACCTTTTGTTCCATTCCTTTAAAATATGAAGTCCTTAAGGCCCTTAACTCCTTTCATCCTCTCAAGGATCCTAGAAGAGATGGCATGCATGTTGTTTTCTTTTAAAAATTTTGGCCATCCAACAACGATATCATTTGTGCCCTTGTTTCCTCTTTTTTCACAACTGGCATGCTTTCGGCAAACCTTAACCAAAAAAGTCCTTAACCCAACTCTTATCTCCCATTTTTGCCACATGAGTTTATGTAACACCATCTACAAACTTTGCTCCAAGCTTTTCATCATTAGGCTTAAACCTTTCTTCAGTCACTTAATTAGCCCCCTTTAATCTAACTTCATTCTAGGGCGGCTTGCTATTAATAATGCCATCATTACTAAAGAAATTGTCTTAGCCATGCATAACAAAGGGACAAGTTGGTGATATGGCCATCAAAATTGACCTCAATAAGGCTTTTGATAGCCTTGAATGGGATTTCATTAAAAAATTGTCTCAACCATTTTTGATTTTCACACCTTTGGTGCAAAATGATCATGTTATGTATAGGTACCACATCAACATCCATCTCTATTAATGGCTCACTCTCTATAGAATTTTTTTAGTCCTATGGAATTCATCAAGGTGACCTATTCTCCCCATACATATTTATCCTATCTATGGAGTATCTCTCCTTTCTTATTGAACGAAAATGTCAATTGAGATGATGGAAACCTCTTAAGGCATCCAAAAATGGACCTTCCTTTTCACATATCCTATTCATGGATGATATTTTTCTATTTGGAAAAGCAAAAGTCTCCACTACTTTAGCCATTAGAGAAGTCTTGGATTGGTTTTGCAAGTCCTCAAGACAATCCATTCACTAAACAATCTAAAATTATTTTCTCACCAAATGTTTGTTTTGAAACTAGTGACTCTATTTGCTCTATTTTGGGCCTTAAGAAAGCCACTAGTATAGGTAAATACCTCAGTTTTCCCATTTTGTCTAAGAAGCCTACAAAATCTGATTTTGAATTTATCATAGATAAGGCCAAGTAAAAGCTCTTAGGCTAGAAAGCTAAACTTTTATCACTTGCAAGAAGACTTACCTTAATTAACACAACCCTGTGTACTATTCCTCTACATGTTATGCAATGCAACTTTCTTCCTACAAGCATTTGCAATTCTCTAGATAAACTCATTCATGATTTTCTCTAGCATAATGAACCTAACAAGCGCTAACTTTACCTCATAAGCTAGGACACTATCTACTTACCTAGTGAACATGGTGGGTTAGATATTCAAAAGTGTAAGAAGCTTAACGAAGCCTCTATTCTTGAACTTATTTGGTGTTTCTTCACTTTGCTGCACTACTCTTGTGTAAAACTGCTCCATGCTAAATATTCCTTCCAAAGATCTGTTAACCATTCTTCCCACATTTGGAAAGCCATGACAAAAATTACCTATCCTTCCTTGAAGGAATTTCATGGAACATTAGCAAAGGCAATCAAGTTAATTTCATTCATAATCACTGGCTCTCTTTTGGTCCTATTGATAAAAATGTACAAGGTCCTTTTTGTGTTGAACATTCCTTTTACCCAATTATTAAAGCCACTGCTGTCCTATTTACATCTGGGGAACTTCACTACTACTTCCCACCTTCACTTGAATCTCTTGTCCTTTCCTATCTTGCACTTGCCAATCCCTTTAAAGAAGATTATATCTCTTGGAAATTCACTCTTAATGGATCCTTTATGTAAACCCAACTAGCTACCAAAGAGGGGGGGTAAATTGGGTCTTATCAATTTACTCCAAAACTTGTTTCTTTTCCTTTTAAAACATGAATCAAATTTCCAATATATAAACTGTTGTGAAAAATAAATAAAGAATAATTGCAATCTTACAAATAAAGGGCAAAAAAATAAAAATAAAAAGAAAGAAGAGAGAATATCAAACCGTGATTTACAGTAGTTCCTCCAACCCAGAATATGTGTGGACTCAATGCACTCCAAGAGGGGGGGTGAATTGGAGTTGGAGAATTTTCGCCTCTTTGCAACCATCACACAAAAATTAAAGAGAGAGTTGAGAAGAAAAGCTTGCACAATGATTTTATAGAGGTTCGGTCCAACCACTTGGAGTCTAGTCCTTTACCTTGGCTTCACTCACCAAGGATTTCCTCCACACTCTCCACTAACAAAAACAATGGTGGCTTAAAGGAGCCACTCAATCCTTTACATGAAAATGGGTGTTCTCTCAATCTCACCCCTTTACACTTAAACCCCAAAGATCCTCTCTACAGATCACTCTTGAAGGAATCAACACACCCCCAAGATCACTCACTAATAGCACAAGAAGAGGATTACAAACAAAGATCTCTCAAAGATCAAAATCTCTAGTTAAAACACAAGTTTGTAGGTAAAGATATTCAATACAATGCTCTCTAAACTTCTTCAAATCTGTTACCAACCATATTTATAGCCCCTTGCTCGAAAATAGCCGTTTCTAGCCGTTGTGGGTCATTAAATGCTCTGCAGGACGCAAACCTCGAGCTGCAGAATTGTCAGGAGAGTCGGCTTAGCTTTCTAGAGTCGGCTCTGAAGAGCCAGTTTACACTTTCAGAGCCGGCTATTGGGTTTGCAGGCCATTCTGTTTTCCTTGAGAGCCGGCTGCAAAACTTTGAGCCGGCTTTGCAACTCCGACCTTAAATACGTTAATAATCTTCAAATGACTCGACCGTTGTGCATTAAATGCACCCTCACAGCTGGCTATAAAGTTGGAGCCGGCTTTACGTCTTTTCTCCGCGTGCGCCAAACAACGGTCTTCAAATTTTTGCCTGTAGAGCCGGCTGCAGCTTTCAAAGCCAGCTCTCTGCACTTCCATTTCACCAGAGCCGGCTGCACTTTACCAGAGCAGACTCCCTGCACATCTTGAATCCTTTTGGTCTATTTTTAGTGCAATCCAAGTTTACTTGCAATCTTTTAGCAACTTAACTACACACTTGAATAAATCAATTAGTCACTCAAATGTGTTTTGTAATCATCAAAATCATAGGTACAACAATATGTCCATTCCCTAAGCCATCTTGCTCGAGAGTTCAATCCACTAGGATTCTCTTACTTACAGGTGCAAGATTAAATTGGAACAAACTCTTGCTTGCGGGTGCAAGAATAAACCCTCACGCTCTTGCTTCAAGGTGCAAGATTAAACCCTCATAAGTAAATCTCAACAACTCACTCAACCCCTTCAAGGATTATCCCAATCCAAGAAGAATACAAAACCCTTGTAAGCAAAGACAATTAACTCAAAAGCTCACAAAAAGAAGAAGAAGATACCGATCTGTTCCTATTTTGCAATCTGTGTTTTTCTATATCTAGAGAAGTCCGCTTTGGGGAGCCTCATATTTGACTTTTAATGCTTTTTTAATGGTTGGTTGGGAGATCTTGCAATTAAGCCATGTTTTGCCCTTCAAAGCCACCTCACAATTGCTCCAATCAGATTCCACTCTTTTTCTACTTCCTAAAGTGGGTTAGTCATTTGAATCCCTCTAACACCCATTAAGACAAAACAGATAACTAAACTATCAAAAGTTTGCCTTCTAAAATCTTTGCTTCAAAGCCAAAAATGTTGGTTCGAACTGTTTTCTAAAAAAGAACTACGGGAATGGTTCATATTAATTGGAATTGATTTGAACCTAGAACTCTAGACAAGGAGGACATGATTTAATTCTAATCATGGGGAAAGATTAAAACCCTTGAATTAACTTCCCTGCACACTTAGGACAAAAATAGATTAACTCTTTAAATCATGGTTTTAAATCATCATCAAAATACAAAGAGAACCTAACACTTTACACTCTCATTTGCCTATCATATGGTATGCAACTCTAAGGCATAAGATAAAGGAGTCTTATGGAAATTGATCTAGAAATGTCCCACTATTCCTAAAATTAATTTCTTTATATAGCTTATTGCTCATGATAGAATC